TTCCTACTTAATAATTTACTTGGAATATCCCGGTTCAAGCATTATAAAATAAAATTAAGAGGACTCGGATGTTTTATTATACTTTCTAAGAGGAAAGAAGATAGATTCACACACACACACACGCATATATATATATCATTTTGATCTTCTATCTAGGCCATTAGTTTTTATGTTATTTTATTATTTAATATTAGGTTAATTGAGATTTAAATTTAATAATTTGTTTTTATTTACTTTTATATAAGCTCATTGCATTCTTGAAAAAAGTCTTGGTATTGGATTAGGATCCAATTAATTTTTTTTATTTTCAATAAATTAAAAATGAGATGATCAAAAATATAAAAGAATGGTAGGCTTTTTATTTTGAAAAAAATACAATGGTGTTAGCTTTAGTCCTCTCTCTCTTTTTAATATCTTCGATTATTAAATATTTTTTTATTTTTAATTTGATTCTTCAATATTGAGTTTATTAAAATTTGAAGGTTGATGATTTGTTTTAATATACTCTTTATGTAGCAATCTCAATTTGTATTATATATATATATATATATTTAAAAACCCTATAATTTAGTTGGTATTTGATTTCACAAAAAAAAATAATCTATTTTGATGTTTAAGAAAATTTGGAAATGAACATACCAAAATTGAAATATAAAAATAATGAGAAGACGTGAAAAAAAAAGGTGTCAATACATGACTTTAGATTTTATTAAAAAAAAAATAGTCTTTTTAGTTTGGGCATAAATTGATTTAGTCCACATATCTATTATGCAGATATTTCAATCTACATGTTTGAGAGAAGAGACAGAGTCATAAGATCATAAAAAAAAAGAGAAAAAGTCGATAAATAACTTGTTTTCAAATATTAAGATAGTTGTTTGTGGTATCAATAAGTTGTAGTTTATGAGGTAAGTTCCATTTAACTTTTTGTCCCTTTTATATTGCTAGAAAAAACAAATTAAGTATTGAAAAACAATTTTGGTTCATTTTTCTTTTTAAACCTGTTAAATGCCATTTTAGGACCATAAACGAGTTTATAAATGCTTTATGGTGTTTCTTAGATGTTTTTTAGTTGAAAATATAAGTGAAAATGGGAGTTTTAAGCCTACAAGCTAACATGTCAAATGTTAACTTTTCGACCATGCAGGATGATCAGAATCCAGAACAATAGGAGGTGTGTTGTCTCTTAAGGCTCGTGTGTCTGATATTTTTTTTTTGTTGATTTTCCCATCTTCAACCTTTAGTACTAATTTTTTTTATTTTTTTTATTTTATTATTCAATATTTTGTTAGTTTTAAATTGGATTTCGTAATTTATTTCAGCTTGCTTTTTGTAGGTTTATTGTGGTTTTAAACAAACTCTTTATCATTTGGTTTGTGCTTGATTTTACGAGTGTTGCTTCTTTTTTTGTTATATAATTAAATAAAAAATAATTTTATAAAAAACAAAGTTATTAAAACTAGTGGAGTCTATAAACTAGATCACTGGTTTGATATGTTAATAAGGGTTAAATGAGAATTAGATTTTATATATTTTTTAATTTTGCTATGGGTTTGTTGCGATCCCAAACAAACGCCTGAAATTGGATTGAAACTCAATTTTGTAATCATTTATTTTTATTATAAGATAATTAAATAAAATATAAATTAGGAAAAAATCATTAAACCCATAGTTAATTAAAATATAGCTTAGGAAAAAGACCTTATAATTAAGTTGGTATTTGATTTCACAAAGAAAAAATGAATTATTTTGATGTCTAAGAAAAATTGAAAGTGAGCAGACCAAAATTGAAATAGAAAAACAATGAGAAGACGTGAAAAAAGAAGAAGGTGTCAACACCTTTGTGACTTTAAATTTTATCAAAAACAATTGGTCCTTTTAGTTTGAATATAAATTAATTTAGTCGAGACATTTATTTCGCTCATATTTTAGTCTACATGTTTATGAGAAGAGATGGATTCACGAGATCATATAGAAGGAGAAAGAAAGTTGATAAATAATCTATTTTTGAATGTGAAGCTAGTTATTCTTGGGGTTAATAAGTTGTAGTTGATGAGATAAGTTCAATTTAACTTCTTTCTCCCTTTTATATTGCTAAAAAAGCAAATTAAGTATTGGAAAACAATTTTAGTTTGGGTAATTTTTTATTTTTAAACCTGTTAAATGCCAATTTAAGATGATAAATGGGTTTGTTATTGCTTTAGGATGTTTATTAGGTGTTTTTTAATTAAAAATATGGGTGAAAATATGATTTCTAAACCTGTGAACTAACATGTTAACTTTTTGACCATGTGGGATAATTAGAATCCAGAACAATAAGAGGTGTGTTGTCTCTTATATGTTTTTTTTTAAAGAAAAAAAAATACTATGCTTGTGTGTCTGATTTTTTTTGTTGATTTTTCTATTTTCAACCTTTAGTATTGATTTTTTTATTTTTTCATTCAGTATTTTGTTAGTTTTGAATTGGATTTCGTAATTTATTTCAGCTTGTTTTTTATAGGTTTATTGTGATTTTAAACAAACTTTTTATCATTTGGTTTGTGCTTGATTTTATGAGTGTTGCTTCTTTTTTTATTATATATTTAAATAAAAAATAGTTTTATAAAAAATAAAATTATTAAAACTAGCGAAGTCCATAAACCAGACCGCTGGTTTAACATGTTAACTCGGGTTAATTGAGAATTAGACTTTATATGGGTTTGTTGCGATCCCAAACAAATGCCCGAAATTGAATTAAAACTCAATTTTGTGATCATTTATTTTTATTATCAGATAATTAAATAAAATATAGATTAGCAAAAAAATATTAAACTCATTAGAGACTATAAACCATGTTGCAGGTTTGATAGATTAGTCAAGGTTGACTGTGAATTGTGCCTTTTAATTTATTTTAATTTGTTTTGTATAGAGTTATCATGGTCTTAATAAAATATCTTGATATTAAGTTGGTGTTTTGTTTTTACGAGTGATTATTTTTGTTATTATATAATCAAATTAAAAAAATTAAAAAATTTATTAAACTCAATTAAATCCTTGCCACAGATTATAAGTTTAGCAGCTCAAGTCGTAAAAATAAATTGATCTACTATATCAATGTCTCAATTTTAATTATTTTTTTTAAAAATCAAATCGTATTTTAACAAATTGTTTGAGTTTATCTTTAGGCTCACAAAATTAATCTAATTATGCCAAAGAAACTCTCAAATAATTTAATTTAAAGTAAAAATTAAATAAAAACTCAAATCAAATGATTTTAAAGTTAATCTATTGTGATAAGTTTTTAATAAAAATACTTTTTTATATGGCTTGCATGTTCCTTTTTCTTCATGTTTAAAATAAAAATTTGGTCAGCGTGAATCAATTTTCTATCATGTTTAGAGATGATGAGGAAATGTTTCAGCGTTGTGATTTTTTTTGGAATTGAAAATTAATTTAGATACAATGATTATGATTTTTCTTGTCATTGGAAGCATGATGACAACAACTGGACATTTTGTTTATTTGTTTTTCGATCTTGCTCGCGACGTGGACCGCCCAAGTAGTAATAGGTAATAAAAAACATTAAGTGAATTTCTTGCATTATTAAAAAGATTTTTAATCTTTTTCCGGATTTAATTATAAATTATAGCTTCATCACTACAGTGTGATGATCAAGTTGAATTCATATTCCTTTTATAACATGATTATCATTTTGACTTAATATAAATTATTGAACTCAAATCAAATGATCATAATTTAGTATATTTATAAAAATAAAAATAATTTTATAATTAGTTATTTTTATTATTGAATAATTAAATAAAAAATAACTTATAAAAAAACCATTAAATCTATTAGAGTTTATGAACCAAGTCACAAGCTTAAGAGGTTAGTTAAGGTTGATTGTTAATTTTGCTTTCTAATTTATTTAAATTTGCTTGATATAAAGTATCATGGTTTTGAGAAAATATCTTGATATTGAATTGATATTTTGTTATTATATAATTAAATTAAAAAATAATTTTAAATTTTTTATTAAACTCAATGAAGTCTATGACATAGATTGCATGTTTAGTAACTCAAACTATAAAAATGAGTTAATCCAATATATCAATATTTCAACCTTAAATTTTTTTTAAAAGTTAAATTATAATTTAATTTAAGTGATTATTTATGTTTATTTTTAAACTCAACAAGTTAATTTATTCATGCTAGAATCATGAACTCATAATTTAATTTGAAAATTATAATAGGTAAAAATCCGAGTTGAATGGTTTTAAGATTTAGAGAGTTTTTAATGGAAATGTCCAAATTTTTTTAATGACTTGTATGTTATTTTTTCTTCATGTTCAGAATAAAAAAATAATTTAAATATGATTTTTTTTCTTCATATTCTTTTTTACTATTATGATCTTTTAGAATTGAAAATTAATTTAAATATAATGATTATAATTTTTTTTATTATTAAAAACATGATGGTAATAATTAAACTTTCTTTTTTTACCAGTATAATTCACGGTGCAGTGTGGACTACCCATGAAGTAATACTTAATAAAAAACAATGAGTGAATTTCTTCCATTAATAAAAAGATTTTTAATTTTTTTCTGGCTTTCATTATAAATTCTAAGCTTCACCACTTTAGTCTAATCATCAAATTGAATTTATATTACATGATTATTATTTTGATTTAATTTAAATCATTAAATTCAAATTAAATGATCATAATTTATTGAATCTATAAAAATAAAAATAATTTTATTTTTTATCATTTTAGTTTTCTTATCTAATTTAAGTTGTTGAATAAACGATATGATTTGAAACACATGCGGTTATATTTTCTTAAAGACATGAAAGAATCCCCAAATCCAATGAAATTAATCTCTTACCAAAACTATTATACCAATATTAGCCCGAATCCCCAAGCCCATGTAGAATTCGGGTTTTATCGGAAAGCCCAACACTGTAACCGACAAGTCCCTCACAGAAAGTTAAATAAATGAAATAGCGAAAACACCCTCCTCACTGCTTTCTATTTTCCTGGCGCCTTTTCTCCGCAGAAGAAAGAAACCATGGACACTGCAAAACCCTACCTTTCCATTCTCTACCTTCTCCTCTTTTTCACTTTTTCAATATATTCCTCATCTGCCCATCCACATCAAATCTCCTTAGGTGCTCTCCTCTTCTTTTCTATTTTTATTGAATCACAAAGAATTTTATATCTAGTGTTTCATTATTTGGTGAAAATTGGTTCCTGTTTGGTTAGTGTAATTAACAGCATTTTGGTTAATGATTTTGGGTTTCGCAGTTGTTGGTGAGGGCAGTAGTAGTAAAGTGCAAATTTCTCCAAGCTTGGAAGTTGTGAACTCTCCGGGGACAAGGTCGGGGACTAGGGTGCTTTGCAAAAGAGTTGATGTCCATGGGTTTCCGAGGCTTAAAAATTTGAACAAGTTTTTTCATTCTTTGATGCTCAAAATTTCACCTTCTAATTCCACTCTTCGCAGACCCAATGTTGAGGTTTGTTTTCATAGGTGAGTTTTTTCGTCTTTGTTCGCAAATAGCAATGCTTTTGACTGATTTTACTATGGCAATGTTGAGTTGATAGCCACCACTTCATTTTCTTTGCAGGAATG